CCACAAAAAAAAAAAACTCTCACGTTAATTTCCTACCAACATTAACATTTTTTGGATGAGATACACGTTATATCACCAAAAAAGATTGAAGGATTATGAACAACAATGTAGAGGCCAAATGGGTTTGGAGGAGTTTGAGTTTTAATGAAGAGTTTTCCGCTCATCTCACCGAAAAAAGGCCATAGCTTTTAGAGTACCCATCTCTCTCTCTCTCTCTCTCTCTCTCTCTCTCTCTCTCTCTCTCTTTTATTTCTTTCATTTTTAACCAACTGAAACCACTAAAACCGGTCCTAGCGGCTAGCATCCATTTTTCTCCGGCGAATAAAACCAGCAAAGACCCAGCAAGTCTAATCCATGAGTAAAAGCTGCAGAAAATGGGATTGGAATTTTGTGGGCGATAAATGAAATTGTTAGTGTAGTGGTTGTTATTAATTATTACATTATTTTCAAGATTGAAGAAGAGGAGGTGGATTAATGGCGAAGGAAGAGGCGCTACTGATTTGGTGAAGATGAAATATTTTGGGAAGAAAGTGAAATTAATGTGTCAAAAATTAAAAATATAATGGGACCCACATAAAATTATGGTGGTCCACATAAAATAAAGTTAAATTTAAAAGAAAATTTAATTTTGAGGGATTCACGCGCTTAGAATTAAATACAAAGCACACTTTGCCATGTCAGCGTAAAGGGTTTACGAGGTCGCACTTTAGTGGAGAAGAAGTGTTAAAATGATAAACGGATCAGTTGAGTTGTCTGGTTGATCGTTGAGGACAACTTAAAGGGGTCGTTTATGTATTTCGCCAAATAATTATATTGTGAATGTCCATTTATTACTCCACTATAGATAGAAGATTATCCATTTAGTACTCTGTTGAAATTTATCTGCAAGCAACTTACAAGAAGCTAAAAAAAAACTTTGCAGTTGCTTCCTGAAAAGTCTTGTAGTTGCTTCCTGAAAAGTCTCGCAGCTACTTCCTTTCTTTTATAAATAGAGGAATTTTCAATTCATTATATACATAAAGTTAAAATTTGAATAATATATCAGTTTCTCTCTATACTTGTCTTTACTTTACCGCCTTTACTTTATAACATTGATCAACTACAATTACTTTTTGCTAAAACTATTATTTCTCCTGTTCTTGAGAGATTGCTCAAAGAAGAATTAACATATACCCAGTTTATAGTGGATAAGAATCCTCTCAACTTTACAGATAACGAAACAAAAAGAAACATTCTAAAGAACAAAATTTGACAAGGTTCACTTATGGAAATAATAATACCCCTCCAACGAGGCAATTGCAACTGATCATTTTTATGAATTGGCAAGTTGCAACATCTACAAAATAACGGTTAAAAATAAATAATAAACAAGATATTAAACGAGAGATAATACTTTAAGAACCACACCTTAACCATTACACTTGCAAAATTCAATGTTATCATACCGACACATGTGAGAACTACAAGATATGGTGAGCTACTGAAAAGCTATCAATACATTGCAGTAAGAGACATCAGATTAACATAGCATGAACCACCTGCAGTTGCTTCAGTGTTTGCTCTGTCACAAAACGCATACGAACAAAACAGTACGGGTAACTACGAGTGCTAAGACTCAAGGCTAATCTGTTCATGACCTGTAGCTACTGTACCCTCCTGCACCAAATGATCCATAGCTGCCGCCACCACCATATTGCTGTCCGCCGTATGAAGAAGATGAATAGGAGCCACTGCCTAGGTTAGAGTAAGAAGACTGCCTCAAGCCTGTATCTAATTGGCCATAACTGCTTGGAAGTGATTCTTTGTGGCTACCCATAAATTCCTATAATGACCATTCATTCATCAGTTACACTGCAATTCGGAAGAACACTATAGAAACTCCTCAATCGCATATAATTTACAGGGTTTTAAATGCATTGCATAAAAATATGAACTACTTATATCTCAACCTGTCGGCTTCTTGAAACTATTCTTTATAAAAAGAGGAAATGGAGATTACCTGGATAAGTTGCTGAGCTGTCTGAACCTCTGATGATGTCCCTTTTATTTCCACAGTGATTTCATCAGGTAAGCCCCTACTTTCTTGCACAGTAAGAATGGCACCACTAGTACGCCGTATATAAGCAATGTTTGCTCCCCCAATGCCAATGATATCTTCTGCATAAGCTAGTGGTATTTGCATTTGAACAGTTTGGGAAATCTGCAAAGGAAAAACAAGATAAGATCGCCAAATAAAATATTGTTTTTGACATAACAGAGTAACTTTTCACACATCGAAAAAAACATAATATTAGCAACTTTAGCATAAGCATAAAAAGGGCAACCCGGTACACACAGCATTCCCCATTCACGTAGAGTCCGGGGAAGGGCCGCATCACAAGGGTGTGATGTAAGCAGCAAGCGCGAGTGGCTGATTCCACGGACCTAGGTCACACGGAGACCTTTAGCATAAGCATGTAAAGTTTAATTATGATTTTACAGATCGAGGTTTCTTATAGCAGAAAACATAAGCAACTAATCGTATAATCCCAGTTGAGATAACAAACATACTACTTCATAAACTCAGCTAGCGGTGTTTGGAAAGTGTAGCAAAGCAACCTATTGCAGCTAAAATTACTACAGTTTACAGTTAGCAAATGTTTCTCCAATTCTTATCACCAACCAAAATTTCTACCGACATATCTAATTCACTGGTGCACTTCACCCTTCCGAATAAAACCATAAAAATCACAACCACTGTATTTCTCACCAAAGGCAGATTCTAACTTAACAATGTCACAATTTATCTTAGAAGTTTAAAGAACAGATATTATCCTACAAATATCTCAATTAAAAGCCAGGAGGTTCTGTTTCTTTCTTATTTCATGCTTTTTTGATAAGGGTCTTCTCTGTCGAAAGGTCCATTGCAATTAGAATGGCTTAAACTGCAATGATCAGGGAATTGCAGGAGAGATCTGATTTTACTAAAAAACGCAAAGAAGAAATCGCTTTCATTTCAAGTACTGAGAAATCTTGCAGTGGGTAACATTATGTTAACTACAATATGACGTGTCAAATTATACGAGTCATAAACAGTGACTTATGCCGTTTCATATTACTTTTTGGCTACATAATCCGCTCTTGTACTTCCATAAGAAACACTCTGTCCCGAACATATGTCCTTCAAGAAGCATACAGGTTAAGAAAACCTAAAAGTAATTGATAGAAAGCATAGCATAAAACTGAAGTACAGAAGTTGTTTTCTATGACTAAAAATTAATATGGGCAATTCACCGAGGCACTGGAGGTTGGCAAACCCATATACGAGCATTGACAAGACCATGACCAGTAGGTGAAGAGAGAACCTATGCAACTAGACAGTTATATTTACTTGTACAGCTCAAAGTAGCTCCTTCCCCAAGTCCCAAATCAAGATTACTCTAAACAATATTCTCAATTATTCTCGAGTAACATAACCATTGAGAATATTCTACACAATACTTTTAATGTTTATTTTGACAATCTCCCCACAAACTCAAGATGATGAGTTAACTTGAGTTTGCTTATTTTAAACAAGAAATACTAAAACATCACCGGAAAGAAAAATGGTGCTACAATTCTCTCTCAAAGAAAGTCAACAATTCAGAAGTAGGAAAAAAAGAGCATATTATAGTAAATCGAAAGGAGTTCTCGAAAAGACGGTACAGTAACGTAAACATCAAGACATCATCAGTTTATCTTGAAACTAGAAGGTGAAAAGTAACCAAAAGTTGCAGAAACAATGAACCAAACTACTATGCTCAGAGGAGGGACTGGCTACTCAGACTCCAATAAGAACAAAAGATGACTTTCCATGCCGGTGATAAAAAATTCAATGGCCAACGGCAATACTCGGACAAGGATACTATAAAGAAAAAGAAGAGAATATTCTAAACTAATATTCTGCTCAATAATTCACTTGATTAACAAATTCATTAAGAATATTCCACACAAATTATAATGTTTCACTTCACATTCAACACTCCACACAAACTTAAGAGGAGTTCTTTTTCTTCTTGTATATTTGAACAAGAAATACTAAATCACAGCAAAGAAAAATGTTGCTAAGATTCTTTTCCCTAGAATGTCAATAGCAAAGCAAGCACAATATTAAAAGAAATGTGCTTATCGTAATAAACACAGAAATATATTCGCATAAAAGAGGTAGAGGGATGAAATGTCCAGGACCTCGTCAGTTTAGCTTGAATTAAGAGCTGAAGTGTAAATGAATGTTCTCGAAACAATGACAGGAAATACAATGCTCAGAGTAGAAGAGAGACTCACTGCCTGACTCTAATAACACAACAAAAGGAGTAAAAACAGCGAGTGAAAATGCAATGGCATAACAATACCACGAATAAAAAGAAGAATCTAATATCCACACTTTAATACCACGAATAAAAAGAAGTAAAAACGTTTTAAAAATAGTTTTGTTCAAAAAGTCACCTAAGAACCGGGGCCACAGGAGTGGTGTCACCCAAAAAATATTGTGGCGCCAAAATGGTCAATAGGAAGAAACAAGAATAGTGAACTTATGAAAGGAAAGAAAAACGTCGGATCAGACAGTATAACGGCCCCTTACTGTAGGCAAAAACTAATTAGTCTCCACCAAGATTGCAAAAGCTCCCATACCATGTGAAAATAGACAAGAGAAAGAATCTTACAGAAAAAAACATATGTTTCCACAATGTAAAGTTCCATGCTAAAGCCACAAATGACAAACCTGAGTAATAACAGGATTTCCAGCACGACCAAGGCCTGAAGTACGATTTGCAGAAAGTCCAGGATCTTGCCCATACAATGAAAGTCCAGGAGGATGATATTGTGAATCCAGCTGACTTTCACGTTCAGAAAATAGAGAATCCCTCTTTGTTGGAGGAGGATAATCCATGCCAAGTCCAGGCCGTGACGTATTAAGCATCGCCCTCTCAGACCAAGGTTCAGGTTCGCGTTCCTGCGTCTGAGTGGCAGGTGTATTGTACTGTGGAAAGAACAAGGATAACAAATATAAGCAGATAAAAGGACATTGATTTGATAATAAACTGACAAAAGAAAGAGAAGTAAACTTACGCTCTTTTCAAACAAGGGAAGAACGCTATGATCCACCAAGAACTTTCTAAGGTGCCCAATCACTGCTTCTAAAGCTTTAAGAACCTTCAGAGCTTCACCCTGAATCTCCACAACTCTCTCATCCGAAGTCGCATAGATTGGCATTTCATCTGAGTTCATAAATTAAAATGAACCCCTGCAACTTATTTAGCATAATTCCAGTAAATCAAACAGTAATAGAATGAAGACTGCGACAAAATACCATTTGAAAGAACTCGAATGGAGGCACCAGTTGTTTGCTGGATAGGCTTGATTAAAGACCCTTGTTTTCCTATTAAGTTCACAGCTTGTGTTGATGCTACAAGAAGTCTGATAGAGCAGAATGCAGCCCCAGCAGCTCCGGGTAAGTTTCCATCAGCTTCAAGTCCACTAACGCGTTTGAACACTCTTATTACAGCATCCAGCGCAGGGGATAATGCTGCCTCAGGTTCTTCCTTCCCCGATATTAGAACCTATGACATTGTTTATGGAGACTATCGTAAAGACTACTTTTTCAAAGAGAGGGCAGAACAGAAAAAGGAGGCCGAAAGCCTTCACAACAGCATCTAAATATATTGAAGAATGATAGCTTCGAAAGAATGATAACTAATGAAGCATCGAAGAGTGAGAAAAGAAGAATAAAATGCAAAATTCGCAAGAAAATAATTGACAGTCACCTTTCCTCTTTCAATTAGTCACATTAAAGGGGATGGGAAGTAATTTTTGTATCTAAAACCTACATCTATCGCTCCTCACCACTAGCCCCCTAAAGTAAAAGTAGAAAGCACAAAAGATCAATAAACTTGTGCTCAAGCGGCGTACAGCATCTCAAATATGGTGCAAGAAACTGATTTTCATTTGATCTTGGAAGCGTCCGTCAATTATTACAACTAACGAAAAAGGTTTTACGGAAGATCACGTGGATGCAGGAAACTTGTTAGTTCCACATCAAATCTTGGATCATTTTTGTCCCATTTCTGCAGCCATAGCAAAGGGGGAAAACTCCTCAAGCAGTCATCCACTTGCCCAATTATTAGAATTTGCATAGTTTAAAACAATGTGTCGGTATAGATGACGTCTTGATTGCATAAAAATTGGCACAAAACAAGATGTTTATAGACTCAAGATACGAAACAAAGTACTCCTATATCAGGACAGCATTTTGAAGATCCAGAAAACAAATGCTACACATAAATAACACTGTTACACTAGCAAACAAAGCAGTTGCAATGCAATGTTCGTATAATAAAAATTACGGAAAGAATCCAAGAAAACACTAGTGGTATAGTGAGAGCAAATCTATATTTTTTTTTCTGTTAACCGAGAAATCCCCTAGGCCCAATGTCGCACAGTTCGAAGCTAGGTGTATAACGGGCCCGCCCCTCTATTCTTCTCCACTTAAATACCAAGCTTTTGTATGCGGCAGGATTCGAACTCGTGATATGAATTCTATCTTATCAAAGCACTATGTGCTTCATAGGAATTATACCATGTGCTTTGATACGATGAGAATTGCTCTTTATTGGTTCCCTAGTATGTACTAAATTTTTAGGTACTCTATTCCCCTAAAGAACAAGCATTGCAGCCTTTAGCCATAATACAGATAATTGACACCTCACTAGCACGATTTTGTAAAGATGGATCCCTAACTTGACATTTTCCCAACTAAACACCTCAAGTTGGTCAAACACATGTTTTAAACACCTTTGACAATTGACCAGGCTTCTGTAACCTATCTTTGACTGGGTGGTACAAAGTGTGTGGTAATCATGCTTGTAAGGAGTGTAAATACATGCTTTATCAATAAAGAAGCATAAATACATGTTCACTTCTCTTCTCACAGTAAGTCTTTTTTTCCTACTTAATAGGATTAAGAAGTCAAATAATCACGGTCATTGCTCTGCTTTTTGCTTCACCTCTCTAGCTCCCTTAACATTTTCAGCTCTTTTGCTTTTCGTTATTTCAACTTCTGTCCCTCAGAATTAGCTTTGACATTAATCTTCAATTACAATTTCATTGCACTTCAAATAGATGCTTGTTCGGATGTCTAAAAGTAGATCACATAGCGAATTTGAAATCTCATGGCTCGGCAAAGCTTCTTAACGTTGTTGAACTCTATAAGTCTATATTGGGCTGGTTCTAATCTCGTGAACATCCATTAGCTTGCTGTTTGTTGTAAAAATCTTTGCCAACTACTTCTGGTAACTTGTTAGTGTAATACTTAGTCCTCTGTTCATTTTCATCCCTAGCAACTTCATCGTTCTCACTCTTCTTTCAATTCATTAAAGCTTGAGACCAGATTATTTTCAACATGAAAAGATCAGTTGAGTCGGTTACTTACATCTACCATTTTCTTTTTTTCCTTTTGTGTGGAAGGTACGGGGGCAGGGGATGGAGGGGTGTGCAGAGGATTTATGCTCTCGAGAATAAGGCTGATAGTATAAAGTGAAACTATTCCATACTTCCACAAATTCTTCTTTCTTTCCAGGAAGAGATTCTCCACCAAGATAATCAGACGATATTTGATGCAGACATTATCACTTTTAAAGCCGGAAAAGGTACTAACGGGACCGAGAACTACTGAAAAGGACTATGCATGAGAGAGCTTGCCGTTTGAAATTTCCAAATCCCTTTTACCCCTTTATTTGTCATCTCCTCCCAGTGCTCCCAGTGGCGGCCAAACTTATCGACATTCTCCCAGTGGTGTATGGGGTGGTATTGGGTGGAAGTGAAAGGAATGGTGCTAGTGGAAGAGAAGGAGTACGGTGCCATAGTCAGAAGTTGATAAGAGAAAGGTCTTTGAGATTTGTATAGATAACGCGGTGAAGATAAATAATGATGTGCGTGGATACTGATGTTTTATCCACATTCTCACAAATGAGGGACTCACGGGTCCAGATGTTTAAAATATGTATTCTAAAAACTTGAGGTGTTTAATTGAGAATCATGAAGTTCGAGGGCTAGTTTACAAAACCATGCAAGCTGAGGGATCAATGTGAGTTAAAGTGGTATTCTAAGTCACAAAAGACTCAAACTTTCTAAACCCTTTATGCTTATATGTCATAAAAATAATTTATAGGCTAGTAACGCAAACCAATAAAAATGTAATACTCAAGAAGCGTGAACCTGTGAATCCTGTGGTAAAAATCCTACTTTGCATCTTAGATTGCAAATTTTGATCTTCCTCCTCCGGTGCCATAGTTCCTCTCTTTCATTTTACGATTTTAATATGTTCATTTAACTAGTATGTTGTTTTTTTATATAAGTATTACACCAGTAGCAGAGTAAGGAACTCTAGCAGGGAGATTCAAACCAGGGCCGGCTCCAACCTTGTGTGAAGTAAGGCTTGTGCCTTAGTCCCCCAAATTTAGGGGGCCCATTTTATAAAAATAATAGGTTCATTTTTAATATAAAGGAAAGAAAACTTTTTAGATATATAAATAAAATAATAATTTGACTTACTTAAAAATGTGTAGATGAATAGTTTTCATAACTTTTAGTTTTTCATTTTTTACTCATTTATTAAAAAATTTGCTCTCTTTTCCTTAATTTGTCCGAGTCAATCTTTTTTTTTCCAATCTCTTCATATTTCAGAAATCCCTACATATTTTTGTATTTTTCTTTAATATTCTTACTCACTTCTTTCTCCAAGATTTCACTATTCACCTTCTTTCTCCAAGATTTCACTAGTTCAAGTGTTCAGCAATACTTTTAAGCTTCCAATAGTGCTATATTTCTATTGCTTTGTAAAATCTTATCTAAGATCAACAATAGATTAAATAAGTTGGCTATATTATCAATCGAGCAAGAATTATTAGAGAAAATCGATTATAAAAAAAATTATTAACAACTTTATATCTCAAAAAGTTAGAAGAGTAGACTTCAAATAAAAATGTATCTTATAACTTTCTTTTAAAAATTTAGGCCTCATATTAAATTTTGGAACTGAGGCATAGTTGTTATCATTAAACTAGAATCTTCCCCTATGTCAACGGAACTCAAAAGCTTATATATATGCAACAAAACACTTTTTTTACTAAGGGGAATTCAATTGACCCCCGGCCGCTAATCAATAGTGTAATAAAGTGTTCCTAACATAATGTCGAAAAGTGAATTTGATAGATAATCAAAATCAAATCTTGATAGCTAACTTAACATGAATTATATGCAACTATGTATAAATTAAACATTACTAATAGGATTGTGCATTTAAAGGGGTAACACTTACAATGCGATCAGGAGAAGAAGGAGGGCCATCGAGTACGCGAATCTTAGCGCCCGTTTCTTCACACATCTTCTTGACGAGCTCGCCTTTACGCCCTATTATACTTCCAACTTTGAGCACAGGTACTACCATCCTGAACACACAACTCCCGGGCCATCCTGGCCACTTTGGCTTCTCTATTGAAACCTCTGAAGCTGGAACTGGTTCAGCGTTAATTGAAACTGAGTCTGGGCCTTGGTCTGTTGTTTCTTCTGGTTTTTGTTGAGGATTTTCAGGCTCTGGTTTGGTCTCAGTGGTTGTTGTAAGGGTTTCTGGTGATATCGTAGAGCCGTTCTGGGTTTGTTCTGTGGAAGCCATTGGCAGACGCTGCTAGGGGTGGGGATGGGGGTGCGGGGGTGGTATTAGGGTTTAGGGCAAGTTTTTGCAGGTGAGGGAAAAATAAAAGAATTGAAAAATGGAAGATGTGGAGGATTTTATAGAGGCCGAGATTTTCACGTGCATAACACATGCCTGTGCATTTTTATTTCTCTCTTCATATGTGAGCACTTCAACCAAGAGGTTGTGAGTTCGAGTCATCCCAAAAGCAAGTTGAAAAGTTGTTGGAGTGAGGTATGTCGAGGGTCTATCAAAAATAGCATCTCTACCCAGGTAAGGATAAAGTATGCATACACATTACCCTACTCATACCCACTGATGGGACTATAGTGGGTTGTTGTTGTTGTTGTTGTTGTTGTCGTAGGTAAATATTTACTCCTTGTTATCACCAAAGCAATTTAATTTTAGCATCTACGCCCTCCGGTCTACTCTATCAGATTTTTTGGCCTTTTTTTTGTAGTTTATAATATTTATTATTTTACGATATCAAGAAGTAATTACCTTCTTTTTTTCAAAGTGGTCCTTGGAGTAAAGAGCCTATGATTAGTTTGTTATATTTCCAATGAGCAAAATAAGGTTAATATGGTCAATTTTATTGTTAATTAATGCTAAAAAGTAAATTTCTTAATATGTATGAAAAGAGCCAAAAAAATTACTTAAAGCGGATCAGAAAGATTATCTATATTATATTAAAAACACGATGGCCCTTAGCGAAATGTCGTTCGCCTTTTTTACCCTTTAAAAATATATTTTACATTGGATAAAATTTATAACTAAATTATCTTCCTAATATTTAGAACTTGAAAATTCACTGAAATTTTGATTATTAAGTATTTCCTTATTTGAAGTATATACCTAAAATTTATGACTTAAAGGCAATTAATATTTTACCTTTAATAAATCATTAGAAAGGTCAAATATTTGGAAGGTCATTACACAATTTTACGTCCATTTGAAGTAGTCAACAACTAGAGTAATTTTATTGAAGAATAATTCTACTAACATTTAGTATTTTCAACAAATTACATTAATTTATTCTCATTAAGTTGTAAGCCGATGTAAGAATAAAATTAAAACTATTAAATATATAGGAAAATAATATTTCACTCTTTTAATCTTGTCTTCTTTTATCTATCCAGAAACTATTATAATAGCACGAAACTCCAACAGGATATTGATCGATCATTTTATCATTTAAAAATATATATCATATTGGACAAAAAAGTCATTTAATTAGTATTTTCTACGAGTGGTATTTAGAATGATGAAGTTAACTAAAATGTTGACTATTATATCTTTCCTTATTTGAAAATATAGGAACGCATAACATTTAGGAATAATTTAATCTCAGTAAGATTTTAGCTATATTAGTTAAATAAGTAAATTTTTACGAGAATTTATTTTAGGAATTATTATTTTATCAAAAACAATAATAATCCATATGACATTAGAAATCTTTCCTTATATATATATATATATATATATATATATCCAAGTGCAAATAATGGCAAGAGGAAAAGATGAAAACTCTAAAATCAAATTGTACATAAATCTAAATCAAGAGCTCAAGATATTGTCGGATTGCTAAAACTTTTGAAGATCTAAGACTTGGGTTAGCTTTAGAATTATAAGTTTGATATCGTGTTAATTTGTCAATATTTTTATTGGATTGGGAGCTTTTGGTTAATCTTTTTGTAGAAGATTTAAAAAAAGATAAGAATATAAAAAAATATAACATGCTAAGTAATTGAAACAGATAGATCAAAGAAATTGATTTAAAATGACTTAGCATTTTAACAATTTGAATACATTCTCTTTGCCTCAAAGTGTCTTATTATACGTATGAGTTAGTCAATATGATCATATTCAAGTGAAGTACGTGTTATTTTTAAAAATAAAATTGAAATATCCAGATACTATACAATAGAAAATTATTATTTTTTAAAATATTTACGAAGTACATTAAATTAGTTTGATCAAAATAATAGGTTTTTTATTTCAAGATCACAAAAAGGAGGCAATTAATGTGTAAATTAAAAAATTTAGTAGTTGCCTTATTTACTCTTTTTGGACTAATCATGGTAAAATATGTTCTTTTATCTAGCACTAACTAGGAATCACGTGTCACAATTATAAGCTATGGTGTTAACCACTATGCCAAAGCGTATTTGTTATTTAGGTTGCTAGTTAGTGTGAAAAATATTAACAGCTATTATCAACTCAAGTAATTCCTTTTTAAGAAAATATTTTATCAAATATATTATCATGAAGTTTCGCAATTCTAGCATCGATAAATCTATATGGGTGATAGCTATAACATGTAATTGAAAATAAATATCAAGCTAGAAAAATGCGTGACTAGTATTATCTATCATAATTGAGCTAAAGGAAGTAAAAGTGTTATTCAACATAATCTCTTTATCCTGATAATAATCATATATGCTTATAAAGGATGGTGCGAGAACCTAAAGCTATTCCTAATAAAATTTCAAATAAAAAAGTATATGAGGACTTTTATAAAGTATATATCTTCCTTCCTTTATTCAAGAATTTATTTTTAAAAAAACTATTTGATAAATCATACAATGAAAACATCTACTATATAATTTTAAACAAACTATATTTATTGGTGCGAGGTACATGTGCAACACGTGTACTCTATGACTAATAAATGAAAATGGAATATTCGTCACTTAACAATGATTACTTGATAAATGAGTGGAAGAACAATCATATCTTGCATTCATTTGATGCAAACACTCTATTAAGGTGATTTGTAATCCTTTTCATATGTAGGTGTTCTAACTTCCTAAAACTGAACTTTAGGGGACAAATGATCAAACTTTTGGGATAATATTTCACCTAAATTCTTAAAACATTTTTGGGGGAAATAGTAAGTAAAATTATGTTATAGTATATTTTGGATAATAAATAGTAGTAAACAAAATTATACTAGAACAAAATATGACGAATATTCTAACTTAGGCTGCAAAGCACTTAGTATTATATTAAAGATTTTCATTGGCACACATTCATTGTTTTGGATCATGAAAGACAAACATTGCATTAAACAGTAAAGAATTTACATATAGGGAGCATGGTTCTACATCTACATTATATATTACATCAGTTCCACCCCTATGCGGTTCCACAGTTAGAACTAAAGGCGAAAAATATTAGAAGGGATATTAGTAGTGGCAGCAGCATGTGTTGAGGACAAAATCATCGGCGGTTGATGCTGTGCATTTGAAGAAATGCACCGTAGAAGCAATGCATCCTTTGTTTGAATAATAGGGGGAAAAGAGACCGCAAAAAAATTCTTGATACGGGGAAAATACGACATTTGAGCGTGTATTGTAGTATATAATGCATGTATATATTTTGATTATATTGTAGATTTTTATATTTGCATATATAGATATTGAGTTAAGAGGTTTGGTAGTTGAAATTGACAAAGAGTATCTAGACATTCAAATGCTGGAGATTTCCAATGAAAACAAGAATGATTACTGAGGAAAGTATAACAAGAAGCTACTAATAGAATAGTGTTGAAGTTAAATAAAGAAAATACTAGCTAGAGCTTACTGTAATATGAGTAGAGGCGGATATTTAACATTATATCAATAAATATATTTTATTTAATAAAACTAGCTTCCATATTCGCCGCATATATGCCGCGTGTCAACAAGTAAAACTTTTAAAATCACACATATATATTGCTAAAACCTATGTGAAAGGTATAAAACAAAATCAAACAAACAAAAAGTGCAAACTTGAAATGATGAAAGGTAATCCTACTTTAGTGACTTGCTAGTCAAACTCAAAACTATTGAACAATATCTAAACTTGTGGAGATAATTTTAGGTGAAATTAAAAAATAATCGGATTTATAAGTGATAATTAAAAAATAATTATAATTTTAAAAATAATTAAAATTTAGTCATTTTTCATGTAAAGATAAATTTGAACAAAAATACTGTTCAAAATCTGAAAAATATTCCAGCATAATATACTGGAGTTCCAGCATAATATGTCGGAAGTTCATACACAGGTGCTCTAATCTCCAGTATATTATGTTGGAACTTACCGTGTGTTGGAGTTTCAGCATAATATGCTGGAGTTCATTCACAAGTGCACCAATCTCCAGTGTATTATGCTGGAACTTTCATATTGCAACAAAATAGTGACTATTTTTTAATGACTTTGCAAACGCTGGCTATTTTTCAATTACCAGTTCGAAAACTAGCTAGCACCGTGCTATTTTCACGATAAAGTATTATAAAGGAGAGTACGTTAGCTTATATATCATATAGGCTTAAATGATAAAATGAATATAAACAAATAATTAGATCTGGTAGAGTAGGTCCTTAGAGGAAAATAATTTGAAAAACAAATAATTATGTTATAATTTGAGAGAGAAAAAAGAATTTAGTAAACATTAATATGTAAATAAAAGATTAAAACTTATATAATAATAATAATAATAATAAATTTTGGGTCGAGAAGACATTGTTATTTTCAGAAGTAGTCGACAAGACATTGTTATTTTAGTCAAGTGAAACCATATACACATTAAATGGTGTGTAAAAACCAGAAAAATACTCCAAATTATATCAAAATTGTTTCAACCTTATCTCTTTCCTTGTCTGAACTTCAAGGCTTCAGCTTTCTAATCTGTAATATTTCTGCAAGTGAGATCTTAGTTCATAGCAATTAAAAGTGGCTAAGAGGCCACACAAAAATTCTTCAAACCAATAAACATATTTCTTGTTTTTTTTCAGGACATAACAGATTTTGACAAGCCCCAACATGAATAAGAATATATCAAACTTCTCTAACCATAAGAAAACTCTCAAAAATCCTCATTAATCAACATGTTTCCTCTACTATAATAATCACACCAACACCATTACGGATAAAAGAAAAAAAAAGAAGCAAAAAATAGGATTGACAAACTATACACCTGGTTAACCGAGTGGAGATGACATTCTCAGTACTACTTAAAAGTGGATTTTCCAAACGACTTTAATACCAAAATAGTAGAGCCTTCATCTGTTACACCGGAATGACATCAATCTTTGAACTGTCTTCACAACTCAGTACAATGCCCTCTAAACTGGCGGGAAGAATGCATTTACTCCACTGACAACCTGTTGAAAACGGCTCAGGAGGAGGAGCGATCATTAGGACATTATCATTTCGTTGGACAACTCCCATTACACTGACAGTACTACCTTCTTTTATATACCTGAGCGCAAATGTAGATGAGAAAAGAGTCAAGAGTGACACTACAGTTTATTAATATTAGTATTATGTAGTTGGCGGTTGGAAAAAAGTGCAACCACTAATTCTTTGAAATTTGTTAAAATCATACCCTTCTTTCAATCGCATTATTCTGTCATCGCTGGATAGATTTCTCGCAGCTAGCCACCTGACAAATTCTGGGGACATGTCCCTATTTGATGGATTGATGTCCACAACAACAGATTCGTCAACATAAGGGGTTACTCTTGCACCACATCCAGTTTTCACCAACGCCCTTAATCCAGATTGGAAGTCAGAGATGTAGAAATCTGTAACATGCCTCTGCAAAAAGAAAAAAAAGAAGCATATAAAATTTTCAGTCTCACTGTAACCATATGTTTGCTTCATCCCTAATTTATAAAGCTTATTTGAATAAATCAAACACTATCACTAGGTAGGGGTAAGGCTTGCGTACACACTAACTTCCCAGGACCCCAGTTGTAGGAATATACTGCATTTGTTGTTGTTGTTGTTTGAATAAATCAAACAATGCGCTTTCATCACACGATCAACATGATAGTTATGAAGATCAACACGATAATTTCACAGGAGATAAAATGCTAGGTAGGTGTATATATGTTAGGTGACAAATTACTTTTTAGGTCGTGTGATCTATGCTACCTTTGATACTCTCCCTAGATAGAGGGAGCAAAGGAGTCAATCTTGATTCATAGAAGCTTCTATTACTTCACTGACTTAGAAGGTGACAGCGAGATGGTTCCTTGAGTTCTCTTCTCATATTACTGTTGTCTTTAAATTTCCCTCATTCAATCACATTTATGAGTTCTAAATAGAGTAAGTGCCACTGTCCAAGAACACAAAACCAGAAATAATTTCTTGCATATCCCATTCAGGCACATAAGTTTTCACCACAAACTTCAGCTCTCAAATTAAATTTCTTGGGCCGTCTGTAGCCTGCTTAATCCCCCAACTGTTTTTGTTTTGATAAGTAAAAGCTTTTATTAAAAATGGTACCAAGATGGTATGAGTACAAGTACAAGATGCTACTAAGCTACTACAGCATTCCATAATCCCCCAACTGTTCGAACGTCATAAATTTCATGAACTTACTTCTAGGCACTTATATCACTGAATCTGCAATATTCAGGTCTATTTAAAGCGTTTCCATGCAAGAATATAACCAGCTAAAACTGAGCTGGTTATATTCTTAGATAAAAAAGAAAAAGGTATTTCCTTTTATTTCTCTGGAAAGAGAAGGTACTTCCGAATTTAAAAAAAGGGGTGTGAAATCTCTTCTCACCTCCAGGGAACGAAGGCCCCAAGTGAAACGACGATGCTCTGGATTGGCTGCTTTTGAATCCCACCCTCGGTACTCATATAAGCTAGTGGATGTATAAACACATCTGGGAACCTTCTGAAATGCGGATTCCAGAGGAACATTTCCACATGTAACTACCTGCAAAACCATAAAGCAATAGTTAAAACTTAATATCCGAGCAGTTTACGGGATCCAGTGCAGGCAAGGTAAGAATTTAGAAAGATGCAAAGAACAATAACATTCGTAAACTCAACTACTCAAGTAAGATACAAGCATCATACTTGCAAGAGCATTTTAAAATTTTCAAGGAGCCAATTTTATGGTTGTTTTCTTTTTTAAGTCTCCATTGACCAAAAAAAATCATGAATCTATTGGATCAACTAACTAATTTGCACGTCGGAATTTAAATCCTATGATACCAAATATTTTAGTCTTCAATTTCTTTTGGCCAAATAATCGTTTTGTTTCCACATACTCATAGGAAGAGTTTCCTTACATAATGCCTATGTGTGTGTGTATAACTTCTGACTATGATTAGCAGTAAATATACCAACTGCAATATTCAAGTGAGCGCTATTATGTAGAATTCACCACTAACCTATCTGCAACCTATGGAAACTGGAACACTACTGTGAACTAACACAAAAACAACACTTCGAGTAAAGACTATTACTACTTTACTAAAGGATCCTAAACCGCATTTTAGAAAAGGGAGGATGGGCAATAACAAACTGGGAAAAGCAGTAGCTATTTCCATGAGAAAATGGGAGAGTAATGGTGATTCCGAAGATGTGCAGAATGAACATATCAAGAAAAAACATACCCCAGAAACTTTAACAAATTGGCCATCTTTTGCAGTTCTAAGCTCGGCATCAGGGTACTGAGAGATGAAACCAACAATAGCACTTCTTCCATAACAAGTATTCCATGTGAATACCGCAGCAACAATGGCAAATAGGATAACAACAACGACAAGAAGAATGGGATTGTGAACAGCACCAAGAATAAAGCCACCAGCTATAAATCCCATCACAAATAGAAGAACTATAGACCAAAGTATTGGCTTCGGGAAACTCTTACGGAAGGAATATTCTTCACCAGGGCTTAGGCGAGTAACAGCCTGGTTATTAACAATAGAACTCTGTAGCTTGATCGAGCCTGTGGAATCCAATGGACCTGAAACCTTCCGTGGAGCACCAGCTGAATTGAGTGGACCCGAAGAAATGGGACCGGATGTAATGAGGCCTGTCGTAGGGAGAATCGGGGGAATAGGGCCAGAGTTTTGACGGGAATTACCAGTAGCCCCTCCAGCTTGAGGACCCGATGACTTCTTCATAGGCTCTCCGTGTTTATTTAGAGGACCTGAGTTGGTCTTTTTCAAAGAAACAGATCCAGGACCGCCACCAGAAGACATGCGACTGATTGAATTCAGTTGACCCGAATGAGAAGTAGCGCCACCAAATGATCCTGTTCTTGATGGGGCATTGTTAATAGGTCCAGATTTCCGTGCCCCAGTTGGGATATCAAACATTTTCCCAAGCTCTCCGGACTTTTTGATATCACCGCCAGTATAAGGCATGGCAACCGAGCTCATTGTTGGAGCCTTTTCTTTCGGCTGCTCAGGCCGACCAGATACATAAAGGCCACTGCTCAACTTATGAGACGGGAACCGAGAACCCATAATGCCAACCTAGCTATCAGTAGAAGCCCAATGGCAATGCACGTAGACAGGATAGCAGTGTTTATTCTTTAACACCCACGAATAGAGACTTGATAACTGGCTGAAAACCCACCTCAGCAGACCAATTTCAACAGTAATGTTATACCTATTCAACAAAAAAACTGCCGTATAAGCATCTCATTTACATTGGGAAGCAAAATACAAGAAGCACCAACGGCGGCTATGATAAGCTTTCTGCATATCAAAGCTTAACTTCAAATTTAGATACTTCAAACTTAGCACAATATATATGCACTCACACTAGGACTTAAATTCCAGAAAGAAGCATCAACTATTTTCTGAATCACAACTAATGAGAACGAGAAAATGACCAATAAGTATAAGGTGGGGGATAATGCACAGAGATCTAGAGATTTTGTAAACCATTATGCAATAACCATAATTTCAAAAACGTTGGTTGAGACACAGGATGATAGGGCGGGCAGCGGACTTTCGGTACTTTCTGCCTGACTCGATTTCAATACTAAGCTCTCATTGCATAAGTAAGAAAGTTCAGCTGCAGAGGGTAAAGAGGGGCAGACGAGAGTTCTAATAATTCTCTTCCTTCCAATTTAAAAGAAAATGAAACAATGAGCCTGTAATAGATGTAGATACAATAGAGCAGTATCATGAATCAGTACTCATAACCCACAGATCTGGATATTTTTTTCAAAATTGCAGTCAATCTCAGTCATGTACATGTATGCAGACAAGCAAATCCGAAGAAAATCTCATTCAATTAGTTCTACTAAAAGGTTTTCTTGAATAACAGTAGCAAACTGTTAACATCCTTTAACTAACTATGTGGTTAGTGTTCACACATCAAGTACCAACAAAGACGCCCATCGATCCAAAACAAAGAAACAAAACAAAAGTCATACCCAACAACACAATTGCAGTAAGAAGCACAATCTGAGAGATCAGAGACCAAAATGTACAAAACTCAAATAAAGATTCGATTTTTACACACACAAAAATGTCTCAAGTAAGGATCCAAGAAAAACATAAATCAGCAAAATGGGTTAAAAAAAGAAACTAGTACATTTATACAAATCTGGAGAACCCCATAAAATAAATAACCTGCTATACTATCAAGAAAGTAAAAACAACCCACATTCACATTATTAACCAAAATTGTTAATGCCCAAAAAAACAGAAACAGATCAAAAAGTTCAAAACTTTACTCATTTCAAGAAAACCCAAAATCAGCAGAATGGGTAAAAAATAAATCTACCATGTATATAAATCTTGAAAACCCTCTAGAACTAAATCAAGAAAAGCAAAAAACAATCCACATTCACATTTCTAACAAAAGGGTAAATGTACAAACAAAAAAACAGATAATAAAGTTCAAAACATTACTCATTTCAGGAAAATCAAGAAAATGTGAAGGGTACCTGAGGAAGAAAATGAGTTGGGAATAATAAGAAGTAACATGGTAATGGATCAAGAAACCAGTTTGTTTAACATGGGATTTGGGATATGGGAAGGTAGTAGTACTAGTAGTGTTGGTGGGTATGAGGTTTGAGTAAAGGGCAATGGGGGTGGGGTGAATGATGTAGGGGGGGTTGGGTATATGGTGGTCTTGGTGGTTTTGTTAGCTAAGGAGCAAAGTGTTTTTAGGAGGAAAATTAATTAAGAAATTAAAAAGGATAAACGTGGAAACTGAAAATGGACCCTCCACCTTCCTTTTCTGCTGGTTGTCTAGGTTGTGATGTTAAATGACATTTTTGACCTTCAATGTAAAGGCTATATTTCTGTTTGCCACTGGTTTTTTCTTATAAACTTATAGGAGCACTAATTTGATTTAAATATTTATATTAACTGCATTAAACACCTCTATAATATGATTCAGTTTCGTATACACCTCTTGTATTCTAAAATCAAACACTTACACTCGCTATATTTCTAAATCATACGAATTTAATTACTTAATTACAGATACACCCTTTAGACTTTAAAATCAAACACTTATGCCCATATATTATAAAATCTTACACATATATAATGACTTAGTCATAAGTACACTCATATATTCGAGTACACCCATATATAATGACTTAAAAGGTAATTGAAAGTAATTTCATTTAATAATATTTATTGATAATATATACTAAATGGTAAGTACGTAAACATGTTATAACAGATTAAATTGTACTAAAAATATATATAATATCGTCAATATATATTACTTAAATCCTACCCGAAACAGTTCATGCATCGTAGCCAAATTATAATCTATAATAAATAGATAATTTTGTCCCTTATGTGAAATTTCATTCTTTCTTCTAATTTATTGAACAATGTTTTTTTATTTCATTTAGTTAATTTATCATTGTAAATAATTTCTTACACAAATAATTATCATCAAAACAAAAAATAGGAATTTTAAATTACAAATTAATTAACGTAAAACACTTTCTCCACTATCTGCTGAGCTTGTCTTTCCTCATTCATTTTGCATTTTTTTCATTCTTCTCCTTTTATCTTCCTAAGAGGAAAATACTTGTAAAAAAGTTGAATGAACTTACGATTAGATTATAATACAATCAAAATAAGAAGAGGCAGAATAAACTTAAAGGATAAGGGGAATTTGTTCTATTATAGATATTTTATACCTTTATTACAGAATATTTCGAAGAAGAAAAAAAGAGGCTTGTATAATAAGTGCTCATAATTTGACACCATAGCTTTAGGAAATGTATCTTGCAGGCCAAAACACTAGGAATTTGAGTGTGAGACTCTCCAGTTTGATTTATACTGATTAAACTTGAATAAATATTCATGTAGAATCGATGTTTCTAAATTCTACCAAGTCATATAGATTTATCATAGTCAGGGGTTTTAATAAAATAAAAATATGTAATAGTCAACCATGATTACTAACTTGTTTGGGTGGTTGTTACATATTGTTTCATAATGTATCGTATCATATCGTATCGTATTGTACTGTATCGTTTGATGAATACAATGTTTGAATAGATTGTAACGTTTGCCGTCCTTTTATGATATCACGCACCAGCAATATGAAGAATAGACTTGCAATATTATAAAGAGAAATTATGATATAGGTTAAAATTATTATATATAAAAAGGTAGTGTAAATGATAAAATAAAATTATTTAATATTAATGAAGGGTGAGATGAGAGAAAAAGACAAGATAACGACGCGACCACACCAAATCGGTCGTTACATAAAGTGACACATTTCGTCGTTACGTAACGACGGATTTAACGATACAATACAATAAAATTTAAGTAACAATCAAAACAAACATTGTATTTAAAGTAACAATACGATACAATACAATAGGTAACAATCATCCAAACAAGTTGTTAATTGCTCAAAGTTTATGTGCAAATACATATCATGTATTTATTGGTTGGTAAATTATTAATCTAATATAAACACCGGGTGCGAATAATTTTTTACCAATTAAGTTGCTTGCTTCCTTAACTCATTTAGGGCCATCTTGTTGAAAATTTATGAATGAATAGTTGAAGAGGAGCAAAAGTTCAATGCAGTACTTGTAAAAAGTATTTATACAATTATATAACTTACGAGGTAATTACAAGCAGGCGAGTTAACTTAAATACCTATTTATCTAATTGCTTAAGCAAAAAATAGTCGACGAATATATAATATATTTATAATTCATGTATAATATATGTATAATATATGTATAAATATATATAATCAATATTAATCTTAAAAATAAATAGTGAATACGATAGATCATTCGTATAAAAATCCTTTACAAGTATATATTTGTAATAGACATTAATTGATAACCTGATAAACAAAACAAACTGTTTACTATTACAATCTAAAATATATTGATAATATAAATAAACTTTTATATTTTTAGTGTATATAACTTAAATCTGTCGAAGCACCTAGAAATTGCTTTATTCCTTATTTGGTTGAGTATTTAAAGTGTCAGTAGTAAATTGTTCTAGGATTCAATGTTTTAAAAAGTGTGAGCGTAAGGCGAGGCATTTTACATATGCCTCAGCGAGGCGTAAGCCCCGAGACACGGGGCATAAGCCCCATAGGTATTTACTTTTTAATATTTTATAAAATAATATAATTACAGTAAATATTTATAAACAGGTAAAATTGCATAAAAATTGAAGAAAACTATAAATATGTGAAATATATATATATATATATGTGCTCCATCCCCACAAAAAAATAGTCAAAACAATCTATTATACTCTACTTAGAAGCACAAGTAACTTGAGTCGAAAAGAATAAAGTTTTCTACATGGAGGAACAAAAAGGATGAGTAACCTGCAATTTGAACTTAAAACTTGCTGCTATGAAAGAGAATGAGGTTCTCTTTGTATTTGAAAAAAATTTGAATATTCGTTGCTTTTGGGAGACATTAGTAGACTAGCGGACAAAATAAAGAATTGGGAAAGATCATGAATTAGGACTTCAATCAATAAAAAAGATCTTAACTTTTAAATTTAATACATTTCAGCTCCTTTTTAAAACTTTTGAGTAATTACCAAGCTGAATTTTGAGAATTTGGGTATTATATGAAGGACTTATTCAACAAATTTTGTTTTAATTTGAAAAAGTCTCTGGCGCTTACGCCTCACTAAAAAAAAATACTCCTCAAATGCACGGGCATACGTCCCGAATTGCTGGGCGTACGCCTCTTGAGACTTTCGCCACACACAGTCGTTGTCTCGGCTGTGCTACCGGAGGCTCTGGGAAAGTCGGAATAGGAGAGCACTCATCTTGAGTACCATCGCATCGGGGCGTTTTTGATACGCCTCGCCCCAGGACTCGCCCCGAAAACGCCTTTTAAAACAATGCTGGATTTACTTGACTCGCACCTTATTTAGTCACAAGAGGAACTCACGTAGGAGAATTTTATTGGAAGAAAATAGAGAAAATTACTAATAATATTGTCTACGAATAGTTTCAAGTCACATCATAATTTTTTGGGTAAATAAGTGAGGCTTTGCTAGGAGCTCATGTAATGGTTTTCATATTTGTTAAAAAAAAAAATATTTTTTTATTTTCACGTTTATGGTAGGACCCACATCATTCTAACATTTTTGGTGTTTAACCTTGTTTTCCAACTTATAGTGAGCTGTATGATTATGTTTTTCATTATTCTTTTCAATTATCCTCCTGTATTTCTTAAAATGTCGGTTTACTTATTTTAATACATCTTTTTTTTTTTTATGAATACTGAAAATTATATGAAATAAGCTTGTTGTCTATAGACTATAGAGTGCAAAACATTTCTGAACTTCCGAAAATAGAAAAAAGAATCATATAAATTAGATCGTATATTTCCTTAAAAGAATTATGCACGCTTGGTCAAAGAAGCGATGTCACGTAACACTGATGCATCGAATTTTTTTTACTAAATATATATATTAGTACCGTGAGGGATCAAATAAGTAGAAAAAATGACACCATTAAACATGGATTGTCTCCTAGCATGTTAGTCATGTGCCTGATTTTGCATAGGTTCGAATCTCAACTAGCATATATTTTTGACAAATATTTGAGAGAGTCTTTGTGGTTAAGAATTGTAATTAAGTAGAAATCATGACCTTTTCTAGGTTCTCAATAAAACTAATGGATTAAGACTATTTTTGTATAAAAAAAAAGATAGTTAAAGTTATTTATTCCAATTCCTCTATACATTGTGACACAATTTACAAAAATTCCTACATACACACCTGATACTATGACCTTTATAAGTTATACCAACACGTAGAAAACTAAACTCGTATTTTGATTAACTCTTAATCTTCTTTATAAGTTATATCAACACATAGAAGAATCTCTCTCTGACTCTCTTTCTCTCTCTCTCTCTAACCCCAAACGGTAGCAGCTGTTTGTTTGTGCATCTCGCCTCGCCGGCGACGACGCAGGTAAGGAATCCACCTTTATCATCTCTCCTCTATTCTCCTTCACCTCTCTTCTCCATCTTTCTCTCGTCTCCGTCCTTTTCTTTTTTTGACAAGATTGATTAAGACCGACCGGTGCCCTAGACAACATTCTGCTAGTCCTATTTGTCTATTCCTCCCTCTTTCTCATACCCTTTCCCCTTCTCTGCCCCTGTGTGTATGTGTGTGTGTGTGTGTGTTTGTTTGAGAACAGTTCCAATGCAATGATTTTTTGGCACGAACTAGCCACACACCCTGGTGGTTATCGCTGTAGATCGAATAATTCCTGCTTGTTGCTCGAGGTCCAGCCCCTCTGGTCAGTCTTTCGGCAAGCCTCGAGATTTCCGACGCCCTTCAACCAGGTTCTTCTATATCAATTTCGCTCCCTAATGAGTGACAACTTTTAGTTTGGCAGCCCATCTACAATCCAGGTCCCGCCATTTCTTAATTTACTATGCTCTGTTGCTTTAATTCGTCTACTGCTTGTCGATTTTTGGGAAGCCTTCATGTTGGTTGTATTCTTGCTAAGTAATTTACATTCTTGCTCTGCTTTTCGAGACTGAGTAGTATTATTACTTTATTGTTTGATAAGTATGGATTTTGACTACTTATTAGCGCCTTTTAGCTTTCGTTTTAGTACAAAAACGTTCAATTGTGTTCCCGAAAACTGATAAAATATGCTTAATTGCAGGAATATTGGAAGATGAACTCCCGAGATGAAATCCAATTCAAGAAGGAATA